TGCGCGAAATTCCAAAAAACAAACAAAACAAACCATTCAAGCCGTCTCCAGCCATTATTACATTCATGTTCGTCATGCACTCGGTAAACTTCGGTTAAATATAACTTGATGAGTAAGTTTACGCTTATATTTTAAAGTAGATAACAAACATTTCGTTTATTTTATTAAGGGATGCGTTAGGAAGAGAAAAATTGCTTCGAACTTATTGCTTTTTTTAAGGAAACTTTTGTATGAATCGATAATATTATACCGAGCTTCTCCGAGTTTTAAAACAAAACAACAGCGTAGTGATCTTCAAGGTAAACAAGCGGAGAAGTCAAGCCAGCTTTCAAAATAAGTTAGATAAAATAATAATCCTGAAAGTATTATTATTAAGAAATGCACTTCACCTTTAAATGCATAGAAGAGGATAACTATTAAAATATTACATTTACACTAATATTAACATACGTGTTATTTATTTGCTGTATCAGAATGTGAAAATGCGCATGGCGGAGTGATTGTGACGACACAAAGAAGGGCATTGTATAAAAACAGAAACAGCTTGTCATCTGAGTGTTGTATTTGGGTTATGGTTTACGTAGGATAAAGTGAGATAATTGCTTAGTATTTAGGAATTGTCATTTTTATTTTTGTTTGAGTGCATATAAAAGTTTCATAGATTCCTCTGATATTTGTTCAATACAGTGACGTTTTCGAAATTCAGCTTTATGAGTGTTAGACATTTCAACCGGTTTTAAACTTGCAGAAATACCACTACTATTACTAGGCTTACTGATAATATTGCAGCAAGGGTAGGTTCAAGTCTCATTTACTCCATAGAATAAGCTCAACGTTAAACTGTCTTTCAAAAGCATTCGAAAAGATAACTTGTTAGAAACAAAATATAACGTATAAATTCAAATCAACTATCTAACAATAATATCTATAATTTAAAGTACGTCGAAACGTTGACAGGCGTAAAGACTACCTGCTTTTGCTGTCGCGATCAGTTGTAACGAACAGTACACAGTGACGTAACTTATTACTCTTAGGTTTTCGTTTTTTCTGCAAAAAAAATTTGCTCAATTTTGGAGATGGCTGGAAAAAAAGCCGGCGTTTTGGTAAATGTAGATACCAAGGAACAGCAAAACGTTATTGAAAATGGAATGGATAATACTAACGCGTTGCATTCTGCGTTCGAAAATGGAATGAAGTTCAAATTTTCTGAACAAAGTAAACTACTGCCTGTTTCTATTAAAAACAATCTGGCATCCCAAGATAACATATCTTCTGAAAATAGGGTAAAACACAAAGCAAAAAGGCCATCTAAAATTCTAAATTTGAATAATGATATTAGTTGTAATATAGAACAATTTCTGGAAGAACAAATTGAAAATAGAGATATAAAATGCCCTCCAAAATTGTCGAAAAATAGTCGCCGATCAAGAGCTGGGTTCGGAAGAGGCCTTCCTAAGAAAGGTAGGTGGCTGGTTACCTTCATAGAATCTTATTATAAGGTGTAATGTAACAGACTGAAGAAAGCTCTATACGTTATAGATAATGTTACTGGAACTTGTAAAACTAAAAGTTGTATGATTTGTAATTCATTATGTGGGATTTTTTGTATGAGAGTTTCTCCAATACATCAATTTTTTTACTACGGATTATATTACTTTTAAATTGTAATGTTTGATGTGTTTTGCCTCTTACTCGTAATTAAGACTTATTTAGTAATTATTATTATTGTAAATTTTCAACAACTCATCTGATACTGATAGGAGTTTTTACATAAAATATAGCATGTTTTGTCATGTTGTCACACATACTTTACCTTGTTAGCTTCAATTTGAAATTAAAATATGAATAATACATAAAAAGTTTTGAAAAACATGTTTATAAGTGTTAGAACGTAGTGTTGATATTTATCCAGATCTATAAATATTAAAATTTGCCAATGTCTGTCTTTGTGTGTGTTCACACACATTTTATAATGATTTTTTAAAATAATTGTTAATGTTACTATTAGTAAGAAAGGCTCACATAAGTACAAATGTTAATTTAAGTTGTAAAATTGTCAGCTGTTGTCATATGTTTTTGTGGAGGACAGTTACTTTGGTAGTAGATTATTTAAAATTCAGATGTAATAAAATCACAACTTCTCACGCAGTAATTTGTCATTCCGATTGTGTTTATGTCTAATATGGGAAAGTGTCAAGAGGAGACTAGAGCTGATAATTAATACAACTAATTATAATACCACACAAATATTTTATACAAATAAAGATCTTGAATACGTGGCAAAATATACGATTGTAAGAAATTATTCTAAACCAACTAGTTACAAAAATAAACTTGGTGGCGAGTTATTAATAATCATAATAATTAAGAATAAGGGTTTGTTTAAATTGTGATATTTTTATTATCATAAACGTTCTTAACAAAAGTATTAGTAGCACGAATTAATTTTCCGGTAATTGCACTCGCGTAGTTTTTTATTATTATAAAATTAAAAAAAAGCGTTAATGTTAAGCTATATCCCTTTTGGTTTAGGATGTGACTGGTCAAAACATTGACACTTAGTTTAAATTCCATCTTCAGTGTTTTATTCCACTCATTTTGACCATTTGTTAATAACGTTACATTCTTATTTCTCTTGTTAAATAGTTATATTTTCTTCTTATTTGTATTTGGTTCATTCAATTTTCTGAACGCGTAAACGCTAATTGAAAATTATGTTGCTCAAGGTTGTAGATGTTTACGTACATGTTCAAAGACATGTATCATCATAATGTATAAAATTAGAATAATCATAGGCGTGGTTTATGGAGGACATAGTCCCTTTGCTTTTACATTAATGATTAACTGAAGACTGCTTCTTTCGAATTTCAACAGCAATATTACTGAGTTGTACTTATAGGGTCTGTTCCTAGAAAACGTGCAACTTAGACTAGAGTAAATAAAATATCCAACTGAAAGAATAACCCCTTACCCCAGTTCCTGCTTGGTTTCTTTTCCTGTACTTTACTAATTATTTTAGAACTTTTATTAAGAACTTCTTTTCAAAAATAAACCAACTGTATAGGTCAGAATTAAAATATTTCTAAGTAGTATTTGAAGGCAATCATAGTTTACAAACTGATTAGAACATAGAAGTACGTAAAGTTGTAGATCACTACGCCAGAAAACTAAATCCTTCGATGATGATAATACATTGAATGGTCAGTTTCTATTTTCGCAGCGAATTCCTAATATTACAGAATTCTGGCTTAGGAGATCATGTAATCTTCATTGTAACTGCAATTAAAACGTTATCACCAATAAGATGTAATAAAACTAACTGTAAAAAAAATAGAGTAGATTATTACGTACAAAACACGAAAACACCAATTTTCGTTGTATAAATGCACACAGCGTGCCATTGCACAAAATATCAGTACGTTTTATGATAAGCGTTCATGCATTTGCCATAAACGTCGAAATCTGTTTGTATGTTGTCGTTTTTTAATTTCTCGCAAAGCTACTTGAGTTCTGTATGCACTAGCCGTACCTAATTTGGATATAACAGACTAAAGGGAAGGCAACTAGTCAACACCACCCATCGCCAACTCTTAAACTAAGCTCTACCAACGAATAGTGGGATTGACCGTCACATTATATAATGTTCCCATGGCTGAAAGAACGAGTATGTTCGGTGATGGCGTTCAAACCACAAAATTATAAAACTGGTGGATGTTAAAAATACTTAAGTATTTATAATGTATAGTCAAAGAGTGCTATAATTTTGTGCCTTATTTTTTATGGTAGAGCCAGTTACGTGGGGCTCTTACCAGCATAATCAGTAAAACTCGATGAAATTGTCTTGTTCAGACTGGGGATAAAAAAGAAAGTCCAGTTGTAACAATAATTCAGTAAGAGTTTCAGTATGAAATGGATTTATAGAACTCTAAACAGCAAACATTAATCAAACTTAAGAGATTACTTCCTTTGGGGAAGAACCCTATAAATATTTGGTGTTGAAAGATCAAAATCGATTTTTCAAAAAACAGAATTTTGGTCAGTAGCGTGGAAGTTGGGGGGGGGGGACTTCCAAGGCCCCTCCCTTCCCCTCGCCCAGTTTTCGGAAAAATTAGTTCAAGTAGGTATAATTGATTACTATAAAAAAGTGA